AGAGAGAGAGAGAGAGAGAGAGAGAGAGAGGAGGGACAGACAGCAGGTGGCTAGAAGCAGGTCAGCAGGAGACGAGCACAAGGAAAGAAGCGGCGATGTTTCCTTGCATCTATTCCTACAAAAGAAACAGGCAAACATTTGATTTCTCAGTCACATTTAAACTTTCTAAAGATATCTAGAAAGCAGTGTGGTTCACTTCTAACTGATCATTTTTGTAAAAATAAATTTAGATTTTCCTTTAACAAATTACACTTAAAAAATAAAATACAAATAGTAAATGTGTGAAAAAAAATGTAATAATTTTACATGATTGTCATTACTTATATTAATATAAATTTATACACGTAAATACATGTATATATTTTCAAAATACTGTGTGTGTGTATTTATATATACATAATAAATATACACACACAAAAGTACACACACATATATTACGAAATAAACGTTTTTGTTTACATAATATATGTGTGTGTACTGTGTATTTTTATTAAGTCTATATAAATACACACACATGCATGTATATATTTAAGAAAAATATGTTACGTTTATATATTAAATATATTTATATAACGTAAGTTATATAAATACATTTCAGTAACACTTTACTTTAAAGCCCATAATGTGCGTTGTAATACATTATTATCTTGTCATAACAATTCTAACCGAATTTAAAATGCATAGTGTTATAATGTATTAACTGTGGTTACAATTATTCATGAGATTGTACAATGCATTATAAGGTGCAAAATTAATGCATTTAAATTACTTTTATAATGCATTATACACAAAGGCTTTACGTGAAGGGTTACCGAAATTTCACACTCACAATTGTGCTGTGCCAACCTCCACTTTATTTGACAAGGATATCTAGGGAATGGATGCTAGCACTTGTTTCAAACACAGTTATCAGCCTATAATTTAATCTCCAGAGGCCAACGACTGCTTTATATATACCTATTATAAGAGCCCCTGTGCAATATACTACAGTAATTACAGTGTAAAAGCATCGTGCAAGAGCACGACAAGAGCGTAAACTGCCCTTTAGCAAACGCTCAGCTAAAGTGTAACGTTGTAACTAACAGCTGGGTCATGAGAACAAGAGCACATTGCTCAACTTTAATAATGGTGACGAACCAAGACAGTGAGGCTCAGTATCTGTGGTTTATACACTTGAGATTGAACCTGCAAACTTGATAACAATCAAGATCATAATGCAATCTAATCAGACACTAGTATGAGACATGTGCACAAGTAACCGACTAGTCAAGTACTTGTTTGCACCAAATAGTTGACCAAATGCAGTACTTAAATTACAAAAATATTTCTTCTCACTTTTACCTAAATTGTCATTTAAGTAGTTATTGTTATACATTTATTATAATTTTTTTATTTATAATATATTCAACCTCAATAAATAAACAGACATTTAAAAATAATTGTGTGTTTTTTAATGTTTACACAACCATTCAAAATTTTGGGTTCAGTTAATTTAAGAAATTACTACTTTTATTAGCAAAGATGCATTAAATTGATCAAAAATGACAAAGATTTCACACTGATGCAAAAATTACTTTATAATTCCTACTTATTCTTTTCTTATAAACCTTGTTTTCAAAGAATCCTGTAAAAAATGGCTTCCACAAAAATACTAAGCAGCAAAACTGTTTTCAACAATGATATTAAGTTAAGTAGTAAGAAATGTTTCTTGAGCAGCAAATCAGCATATTAGAATGATTTCTGAAGGATCATGTGACACTGAAGACTGGAGTAATGATGCTGAAAACGCAACTTTGGCATCATAGAAATAAATAGCACTTTTAAAAACAATTAAAAATAAATAAATTCAAAATATACTGTATTTTTACATCAAATAAATGCAGCCTTGGAGAGACTATATTATATACACACACACACACACACACACACACACACACACCTAAACAATTTAATTGTATTTATTATTGATAGATATACTGAGATATAATATATATTATATACTATATAGCATATACTGAGATAAACTCTATATACTTATTAATTTAGTCAAATGACACGCATACACTTACCTAAAAGAAAAATTTGGTTAAATGTCAAGGGCAAAATCGTGTTTTTGGATCGTCTCATCTCTAACTTTCAGTTAGCAGACCAGACCTTTAACTACTAAACCACACCTCTCCACACGAACGATACCACGGAACAAGCACTGGGTCAAAAAAACCACAAGAGAGACGGTCAAAGTGAACGTGGTACACACACCCACAGGAAGTCAGTGCGAGTCATTATGTGGAACTGCATACATGGGCTGGACTAACACCTTCGACTGCATACTGTAAACCCTGGTAACAAGCACACAAGCACACACTCACACAATGTGGAAAGGGATCTGTACAGGATGGTCGGGCTGCCTGTGTCTGTGTGCATATGAGAGGGAAAGAGACATAATGCATGATGAAAGAACAGAGATAGATCAGTGGGGGGAAAAAACAAGAGAAGACATATACATAGACAGAGAGACTAAAGACACAACAGCAACACTCTAGAATTGTATATTGTTGCACAAAGCACCTGAACTACACACAACAGCATACAGTTCATTTCCTCAAACAATCTTAGTGTCCAGTTCTGTCGTGCCACCTTTTTAGGCCACGTTTCACCCTAGTGTGTGTGATGAGCAAAGAGTGAGATTTGCGTGTTGCACTGTGGGAGATGCTATTTCAAATAGCATCTCCAAATGCAAAACAAACTCACAGTGAACGTGTATGTGATGGTGACGGGTGCAACAAGCTAGGGCCAATGAGAGAGGAGAAGAAAGGGCAGAAGAGAGGCACGGAGAAACGTTAAACATTAGGAAAAGCAGCCTTACCTGGCATCTGCTTCGCTGTAGTACTCTCTGGCTACAATGTCTTCAAACAGTTCACCTCCAGTCACCCTAAAACACAGGAAGTTCAGCCTGGCTATTTGCTAATTCAAACAGAATTCCTGTTCTAGTCCCTTTCCGAAAACTCAGTTTCCATGGAGACGAGAATCCAATGTAAAACAAATTCTCCGGAAAGCTAGAACTGTGAAAACCGAGGGGAAGGTTTTTAAGATGGCATGCTTTTGGGGAGGCATTAAATGTTTTTGGTTATTGCCCATCTGATAGCAATGTGTTCATAATATGGCATCAACATGTATTAGTTCAGTTTTTATGAATTATAACTCACGAAGCCCATGTATTCTTAAAGGGATGGTTTGGGAAAATAATTAAAATACATTACATGGCTTTTGAAGACTTTGAATACAGCACAGTATTCAATACAGCACAGTTGTTATTCTTAGCTAAAAAATAAAACTATTAAAAAATAACAGCAATTTAAAAAAAAAAAAAAGCTGAAATAAAATGAACTTTAAAAATGTTCTAAAAATGTCTAAAACTGAAATAAAAATAAGAAAAATTAAAATACTAAAATTAAAATTAAATCGAAAACTGAAAATATTAAAATTAAAGCCAATTTAAAATATTAGTAAATACTCTAATAGCATATAATATTCCCTTTCATCAGAAAACAGCAGCCTGTACGACAGCTAGATGTTTTAAAGTCATCTTGGTCATTGCCTACGTATAAGTATAAGTTTGAAAAATCATAATTATGATGTGATGTATGTTCCAAGTAATTTTGGTCGGAATAAAATAAATGTGTTGGTCAATTTTATTATTTACACTGCTTTCTGTCAAAGATATGAGCTTTATTATCTCTAGTACAACAAAATTAATAACAAAGGAAATGGGAGCTTTAGGTGTGGAATTGACACTTATCTTATCATGCTTGTGCTGCCAAATTCAGTTTTGCTATACAAGCCTGTCACTGCATAAACGGGCAGTATTTTCTGGTAAATTTGATCACTGGTCTTCATCACCAGCACACAAAACTATATTATACAATTAACATTAGCAATTACAACATACTATGATAAATAACAATTTGTGCATGTGTGCTCATCTCATAAATACAATCATTCAAACATGACTTGAATGCAACATTACTCGTTTTGCATTCATAGTGTTGTGAGAGTGAGCAGATGATGACAGCAGCAGTTTTTTATTTTTGTGTGAACTATCCGTTTAACAGTGCAGAAAAACAGAATGCTTATAAAAGGCTTCAGAGGCACATACTGTAGCATATGAAGGATGAATCATTTTAGGCTATGCTGTTCCTCACGTCAAAGCTAATTTGATGACAGGAAACGGAGGAACATTCTGACAGGAAGTACACTGACACTTACAAATCAAACAGTAGGTAGTGGAAGCCCTCCTCTGATATACTGTCATGCAGACGAACTAAAACAAAAACAGAGAATTGAGATTAGATTTTATTGAGGCTGTAGGGACAAAAATCACACAACATTCTCCTGAGCTCAAAGTATGAGAATAATCGACTGTCAACGATCCATTCAGAGTTTAAATGCTTAAAATACACTTTAATCATATATATTATTTCTGATTAGAATTGGTGGAGGTAAATAGCTCACCGATATTGTGGTGTTTCAGCAGACGACAGATTCGAGCTTCTCGTTCGAGCTTCTGATGGTCTGAGGGTCAAACACAGAAAGTGTTAAAGGGGTCATATGATGCGATTTCAATTTTTCCTTTCTCTTTGGAGTGTTACAAGCTCTTGGTGCATAAAGAAGATCTGTAAAGTTGCAAAGACTAAAGTCTCAAATCCAAAGAGATATTCTTTATAAAAGTTAAGAGTCAGCCACACCTACCTAAAACGGCTCGATAATGTACAGTATGTGGAAAATAATGTGTTTTTTGAACCTTAAACCGCATAAACACATTTCATTACATCAAATACACAAATTAATGTTCTTTTTAGCAACATCATATGACCCCTTTAAAAGTACAAATTATAAAACACTGAATGGTGTGATATAAGCTGCAAAAAAAAAACAGCCCAACATACTTGGTTACACATGCAAACACAGTAAAATGCTAAAAAATAAAATCAGTATTTGTAAATTATAATTTTTTTTTTGTTAATGTGAATTTAGGAATCACAAATGTACAATTTCAAGTATGAAACACAGATAATCATTTTGAGATCTGCTAAATCTGATCTAAATATAAAAATAAGCAAAAATAAACATGCATAAAATAAAATAAAATATCAGCTTTTAATTAACAACCGGGCATTTCAAGTAGTGAAAAAAAAGTTTTAAAAAAAAGTAGTCAAAAGTAAAATTTCGGGTAGACTATGAATAAACCACGTTCAAAATAAACATCACATAGCATTAGCCATCACATTGGTCATAGCTCCAGTGTAGAGTTACAGGACTTGTTTCCATTGGCAATTACATCACAAACTTGATATGCCATTATGCCTTTTAACCTTTTAGGCGCCAGGGATTTTTGGAAAAATGCTGGATTTTGACATCAAGATTTCAAAAGCTTGTGGCTTGAAAGGGCTTAAAGATAGAGATCTACTGTAAATCAGAAAAATGTTGGGCGTGACCGAAAGTTTATGTGGGGTGTGAATATACTCGTCTAATTTGCATATTATGACGTCATTAGGGGGCGCCATCTTGAATTTCATAATATTCAGGAAATAGTAGATATTGAATTGATGTTTGAACTTATTTGCATGTTT